TCTGACCCGTTTCATGGACTATTACTCACCGTTTCGCGGTCCCGAAGCGATTTCCACAGTTGTCAAACCCCAAGGTGCGCCTACGTGTCGGCCATCAACAGTCGTAGTTTTGGCTGATTCTGTCCCGTGTCTTGGACTATTACTCTGTTTAGGGGTCCTGGAGTGATTTCGACAATTGACGAACCCCAGGGTGCGTTTACGTGTCGGTCATCAACACTCACAATTTTGGCCGATTCTAGTCCGTTTCGTGCACTATTACTCCCCGTTTTGGCTTCCGGGTGTGATTTCCACGATTGACGATCCCCGGGGTGCGTTTATGCGTCCGTCGTCAACACTTACAATTTTAACCAATTCTGACCCTTTTCATGGACTATTACTTACCATTTTGGGGCCCCGAAGCGATTTTTGTAGTTGTTGAAACCCAAGGTGCACTTACGTGTTGGTCATCAACACTCACAGTTTTGGCCGATTCTGGCCCATTTCATGGACTATCACTCACTGTTTTGGGGTCCCAGAGTGATTTCCACGATTAACGAACCCCGTGGTGCGTTTACGTGACGGTTATCAACACTCAAAGTTTTGGCCGATTCTGGCCTGTTTCGTGGACTATTAATCGTTGTTTTGGGGTCCGAGTGTGATTTCCACGATTGACGAACGCCGGGGTGCGTTTACGTGTCGGTCATCAACACTCACGGTTTTGGCCGATTCTGGCCCGTTTCGTGGACTATTACTCATCATTTTGGGGTCCCAAATCGATTTCCATGGTTCTTGAACCCCAAGGTGCACTTACGTGTCCGTCATCAACAATTACAGTTTGGGCCGACTCTGGACCGTTTTTTGGACTATTACTCGGTTTTGGGGTACCGGAGTGATTTCCACGATTGACGAACCCAGGGGTGCGTTTACGTATCGGTCATCAACACTAACAATTTTGGCCGATTCTAGTCCGTTTCGTGCACTACTACTCACCATTTTGGGGTCCCAGAGAAATTTCCACGATTGACGATCCCTGGAGTAAGTTTACATGTCCGTCGTCAACACTCACAGTTTTGGCCAATTCTAACCCGTTTCGTGGACTATTACTCACCGTTTTGGGGCCCCAAAGCGATTTCCATACTTGTTGAAACCCAAGGTGCACTTACGTATCGGTCATCAACACTCACAGTTTTAGCCTATTCTGGCCCGTTTCATGGACTATCACTCACTGTTTTGGGGTCCCGAAGTGATTTCCACAATTAATGGACCTTGGGGTGTGTTTACGTGTCGGTCATCAACACTCACAGTTTTGGTCGATTCTGGCCCGTTTCATGGACTATTACTCACTGTTTTGGGGTCCTAATGTGATTTCGACAATTAACGAACGTCGGGGTGCGTTTACGTGTCGGTCATCAACACTCACGGTTTTGGCCGATTCTGGCCCGTTTCATTGACTATTACTCACCATTTTGGTGTCCCAAATCGATTTTCATGGTTGCCGAACCACAAGGTGCGCTTACGTGTCCGTCATCAACAATCGCAGTTTGGGCCGATTTTAGCCCGTTTCTTGGACTATTATTCGGTTTTGGGGTCCCGGAGTGATTTCCACGGTTGATGAACCCTGGGGTGCGTTTACGTGTCGGACATCAACACTTACAATTTTTGCCGATTCTGGCCTGTTTTATGGACTATTAATCACCGTTTTATGGTCCAAAGCGATTTCCATGGTTGTCAGACCCCAAGGTGTGCTTACGTGTTGGTCGTCAAGACTCGCAGTTTGGGTCGATTCTGGCCCGTTTTTGGACTATTACTAATGTTTGGGGTCCCGAAGTGATTTACACGACTGACGAACCCTGGGGTGCGTTTACGTATCGGTCATCAGCACTCAAAATTTTGGCCGATTTTGGTCCATTTCGTGCACTATTACTCGCCGTTTTGGGGTCCCATAGCGATTTTCCATGATTGGTGATCCCGCGGGTGGGTTTACGTGTTCGTTGTCAACACTCATAGTTTTGGCCAATTCTAACCAGTTTCGTGGTCTATTACTTGCCGTTTATCGGTCCCGAAGCGATTTCCATAGTTGTCGAATCCCAAGGAGCGCCTACGTGTCGGCCATCAACAGTCGCAGTTTTGGCCGATTCTGACTCGTTTCTTGGAATATTACTCATTGTTTTTGGGTCCCGAGGTGATTTCCACGATTAACGAACCCCGAGGTGCGTTTACGTGTCGGTCATCAACACTCACAGTTTTGGTCGATTCTGCCCGTTCCGTGGACTATTACTCATCGTTTTGGGATCCAAAGCGATTATCATGGTTGTCGAACCCCAAAGTGCTCCTACGTGTCGGCCATCAACAGTCGTAATTTTGGCCGATTTTGTCCCGTTTCTTGAACTATTACTCACTGTTTTGGGGTCCTGGAGTTATTTCCACGATTGACGAACCCCGGGGTGTGTTTACGTGCCGGTCATCAACACTCACAGTTTTGGCCGATTCTGACCTGTTTCGTGGAATTATTCACCGTTTTGTGGTCCCAAAGCGATTTCTATGGTTGTCGAACCCCAAGATGTGCTTACGTGTTGGTCGTTAAGAGTCACAGTTTGGGCCGATTCTGGCCCGTTTCTTAAACTATTACTCAGTTTTGGGGTCTCGATATGATTTCCACGATTGATGAACCCCGGGATGCGTTTACGTGTCAGTCATCAACACTCATAGTTTTGGCTGATTCATGCCCGTTTCATGGACTATTACCCATTATTTTGGGTCCCTGAGTGATTTCCACGATTAACGAACTCCGGGGTGCGTTTACGTGTCGGTCATCAATACTCACAATTTTGGCCGATTTTGTCCCGTTTCGTAGACTTTTACCCACTATTTTGGGTCCCAAAGTGATTTCCACGATTAACGAACACCGGGGTGCGTCTACGTGTCGGTCATCAACACTTACAGTTTGGGTCGATTCTGACCCATTTCTTCGACTACTCACTGTTTTAGGGTCCCATAATGATTTTCACGACTGACGAACTCCGGAATGCGTTTACATGTCGATCATCAACACTCACAATTTTGACCAATTCTGACCCGTTTCGTGGACTAGATCCACTCCACTCACATGACCCTAAGGCCACCAAAGACGGACCGCTGGTAGGAGGCAAAGAAATCCTAGCTTTTCAGGGGAGACGACAGTTGTACAGAACTAGGCGTACCATGACATATAAAGTGTACACACAGAATAAGTTTCGGTAGGACAAAAAGTGTGAGTAGAAAAGGCATGAATATTCACTTTTTTAGTGTTTAATTTTTCACCAAAAATACCACACAAGTCATTTCTTCGTGAAACTTTTCACAAGTGTAACACTAGATCAATTTGGTTTCCAAAAAGAATAAGGAATTTTGCCTCTATTTGTTTTGCAATTTCTAAATTATTACTCCCTCCGTCCCAAAATTCTTATCTTAGATTTGTCTAAATACAGATGTATCAAGTCACCTTTTAGTATTAGATACATCCGTATTTAGACGATACATCCGTATCTAGACAAATCTAAGATAAGAATTTTGGAACGGAGGGGGTATTTTCAATTCAGGTGCATTGGCACGCAAAAGGCCGAGACCCAAAGATCCGCACCGCTGCGCTGCGCACCTATCCACAAACTGAGGACTTGATGTAAAAATCATCTAAACATCATGTTTCCATTAGGCAATCCTTAGCAGCATCCACCCTCCACAGACCTAAAAAGTAAAAACTGACTGCTATATAAACAATAATACTGATGCTTGAAGTGCCCATGAATATAATCCTGCCATTGAAACTCTATTAACACATCATGTTGAAGAGAAACCACAAGGTGCTCAGCATACATGTCCGAAATCTTGCTGCATAACAGCAATAACCAAGTCGGTAACGAAACGCGACTCACTAGCTACATTCCAAACCCTAGCTCGGCGACGACAAAAGAGTAACGATCGGTAGATTAAAAGACATGGCACCATGTCACAAGTCTGGCGGTACCACCATCCCAGGTTTTTAGCGTTAACGGTTACTTGCTACAGCGGCACAACCTACTTCATTCATATATCCAGTCCAACCTGTCTGCTCATTTCCCTCTCAGCTTCTCAAGGTCAGGGAGATCTGCAACCAAACAAAGCCGCCGGGTTAGTTACAAGGAGCACATATGCTCTCTGATTGCGACTTTTTTTCAGACTCATTGTTGAGGGGATGCTACAACCAGTACTTTGTTTACGCAAATGATGAATTTGACTGTCGGCAGAAAATAACCCTTGTCAAGTGTGGTAAGAGACTGAATTGTCAACAGTTCAAATCAAGTTATCAAAGGAACTCTTCTTCTGTGCAGAATCATATTCCCTTCGTCTCAAAATAAGTGTCTAAAGTTTAGTACAACTTTGTACTAAAGTTAGTACAAAGTTAAGACACTTATTTTGGAACGGAGGGACTATTTAAGAAAATGAAGTCTAACGAAAATCCTATCGTGACGCTACACAAATACAGATTAGCTCACGCTCCAAACCATATATATAGGTTTGTGTACAGAAAGTTATGTCCATATTGGTAAATTAATCAGGTGTGAATTTGATCGTCAGAAGCAGCATAATGTAAAGGCCAGGCGTATGTGGGATTCAAAGTACAAGATGGGCACTCACACAGCATTCCATCATCAGCATCGCTTTCCTCATTTTCCTGCAACAGCGTGAGGATAACAGTAAGTAACTCTAGACTGAGGATTAAACATAAACCAAGCAAGAAAATGAGGGGGCACAGAAGGTTGATCATGGTTCATACCTCACCACCATCAAAGTCATCGTCTGAACCCGAATTCTCTGAAAGGGATTATGTGTTAGATCGACCGAAGCATAATGCATAGTGAACTAAAATGCAGATAAAAGTGAAGAAAGTAGAGCTTCATAGCAGCTACATGATGGGATCACAGATTAAATAGCCAGAGTACTTATGATCATTAAACCAGCTTCGAAAGAGTATAAACTTATTTAGCGTATCAGCAAATTGCTTGTTACGTAATACATTGCAATCTGAGGAAACTGGGAATGGCATACATGTGACCTTCAGGAAGAATGGTATGTCCCACCCCACCCATAATGACAAACGTAATGGACCCTGATTTTGTGTAAAGCATAATACTTGACGCACACAACAACCAAATGTGATCTACTTAATTACATCTCACTTTCTTTTCAAATCCGTTTTCTGTGATGAACTCCACAAGTTGGTACAGGAAAAATGTCTATGTTGTTCATTTATATCATACTCCCTCCGTCCCGAAATACATGTCATTAAAATGGATAAAAGGGGATGTATCTAGATGTATTTTAGTTTTAGATACATCTCTTTTTATCCATTTTGATGACAAGTATTTTCGGACGGAGGGAGTATATCAAAAGCACATACCAGACTCTTCATCCTCATCACACCATTTGTTCCAGTCAACTTTGATGTATGGATGTTTTGCCTCTGACTTCAGCAAGCGCTTCCACCAACATTTCTTATCTTTCTGGATCGAACAGATTATGTTTCGGGAACCCACCTTTGTCTTTGTTTTGCTTCCCTACAGACAAGTTAAAAAAGGGGTTACTTGACTAACAGTTCACAAGATAAAGTGATGATCGTCCTCATCAACATTGCACAGGAAATTATTCAGCATGCATCGGTTAGTTCCTTCAAACAGGGTATGGCATGTATATAAATATTACGAAGTAGATCATCTATATGTGGATTCAAGTTCCTATGACTGAAAGACGAGCGACAACATTGTAAGTATTATATATGTCCATTCAGTAGCCTTCTAACATGTATCCAAGGAAGAACCCAGAGGTAGAAACTGAACATAAGTCAACATCAACTGAAACCAGCCCTGTATTACAATGTAGAACTGACGACCACAACCACATATACTTACCTCAGGCAGTATGGAATCGAATAGCTCCAAATTCAAGCTAAAAGATTCCCCATGAGCAACAGCTGAGAAGCTAAAGATGCCGTGAGGTTCAGTCTTGATCACAACATCTTCTGCGTCTGGGACTGAGATAGTCAGGTAAACCTTTTCAGAGCGTTGAGCCCAGAGCACCTCAGGTTGACGACTGCATGCCATAGA